ATCCACAGAGTCCAGACCAGATTCACTCAGCCACTTCACGCTGGAGTTTGGGTTTGTAATACTGGAGGTTCTGCTGAGTTGTGTAAACCAAATGGACAGAATCCATTGAAAGTCTAGTGAGTTTGATTCTAAGTTTTACTCCACAAGGAGATTATTTTGGTGATTATCGCTGTTTCTTTGTCTAAACTGCTCAGAAATTAATTGTCAGAGCTTTCAGTCTTTCTTATCTTCAAATCTGATGTTCTGATTTTGATAAATTTGTTCATTTTTCAACATCATTATTTGAAAAGATTGTGAACAGATTAGAATAAAACTGTCATGTTGCTTCTCTGCTGAGCTGTTGGTGATGGGATGCTGCCCTCTGCAGGAAAGTCATGTTGTTACATGACTCAGAATCCAGAAATTGTTCATTTTTGCTTCATTATTATTAATTACATAGAATGAATTTGTATTTTTAATCACTGAGTAAAATTCCAATTTGATTCTTACACATTTTATTTTTAACGTAGCTCCCTTTACCTTCCTGTTTGACCTCATGGTGTAAATTATGTGGAGGTGACAGGATTCACTCTTATAAATGTTTAACTCACCTTCTGTTTGTTCCTTTACACCATTACTCTGAATTTATACATACGATTTCTTACCTGACTTGGTGCTAAATAAAGCACAAATAAGCTCTACTGAATTGAATTGAATTGAATTGAATTGAACTGAATTGAATTAAATGAAATTGTTTACTGTTTTACACATTAAGTGTTTTGCTCAAACCTGTCCTCTTTCAAGAATCAGTATATAAATATATTCCCTTTTCTTCAAGCTTTCAAACCTCGAAACTCCTCTTTTTTCTCAAGTTTCCTTGTTTTCTCCCTTCCTGGCCTGAAACTTGAACCTGGGTGACATCAACACCTGCTGAAGGTGAAAGCTGATTGGCTGCTGCCTCCCTGCACTGAAAAGTGATCCTGTTAGGTAAATTGTATTATTATCAACTATTTGTTATATCTTTATTATGTTCTTAGTTTATGTATTCTTACTTATTTAGTTTAGTCATAGGTTTTAAGGAATGTTTCTGTATTGTTAATCACTCTGCTTCCTTCCTCAGAGGAGGCCTCTCTGAAGAAGAGCAGTGACAGCAGCTCTTCTCAGAACGGCCTGCTTTGACCTCTTAGATAGCTATAAAACCATCGCCGTGAAGATGTACAACTTGTCCTGCTTGATCCTGGGTCAGGAACTGGATAAGCTAGTGCGAGATAGATTGTGTTGTTAGTTAGCTATAATCTTGGCGCTGTGACTGTGTGATGAAGTGTCTTTTCCCCTCCCCTTAGAGTTACAGCGCTCTCTGTGATTAGGGATCCTAAAGACAATAAAAAGAGAGGGGCAGGCAAATGTGCTTCAGAGCAGTTGGAGATTGTAACTGAAAGCACATCTCTGTCTGTTCTCCTCGCGAGTATTAAGAATCTAACTTTCTCTTGTCTTTCCTGTATTATGTGCTGTGTTTAATAGGTGTCAACCCTGACAGATCCGTAGATCAGATCTCAGCCTAGTTTCTGTTCCCAGAAAATTAAACTCACAGTCACTGTTGCTGAGAGGAGAAATGGCGCAGCAAGCAGTTCGACTGGACCAAGAAACCTTCTGCTGTTCGATCTGCCTGGATCTACTGAAGGATCCGGTGACGATTCCCTGTGGACACAGCTACTGTATGAACTGTATTACAGATCACTGGGATGGAGAGGACAAGAAAAGACTTCACAGCTGCCCTCAGTGCAGGAAAACCTTTATACTGAGGCCTGATCTGCAGAAAAACACCATGTTAGCAGCTTTGTTAGAGGAGCTGAAGAAGACTGGACTCCAAGCTGCTCCTGCTGATCACCGCTATGCTGGACCTGAAGATGTGGCCTGTGATTTCTGCACTGGGAGGAAACTGAAAGCCATCAAGTCCTGTTTAATTTGTCTGGCCTCTTATTGTGAGAAACACCTTCAGGCTCATTATGAAGTGGCTCCTTTAAAGAAACACAAGCTGGTGGAGCCGTCCAAGAACCTCCAGAAGAACATCTGCTCTAAGCATGATGAGGTGATGAAGATGTTCTGCCGCACTGATCAGAAGTCTATCTGTAGTCGCTGTTTACCGGATGACCATCAAGGTCATGACACAGTGTCAGCTGCAGCAGAAAGGACTGAGAGGCAGAGAGAGCTGGAGGAGAGACGAGGAAACATCCAGCAGAGAATCCAGGACAG